TTTTTTTTTTTGCAATGAAATAATTTTCTTTTCTCAATTTACTGTTTCTTCCTCTCGTCCTCATTCTTCCGTCGTTTTCACGGATATCCAAATACTTTCAAACTGTCGACAAGTTTGAAAACATACAAAAAAAGAAAATCGAAGATATTGCGTTAAAATTGTGCGGTCATTCAAGAGTTTTCAATTTTTTTTTTCTCCTCTCGCACTGAATATGAATTAATTGTTGAGAAAAAAAATAATGGAAAAAACGAAAGAGAAAAATTTTCTGGTCTTAAATATTCTTCAACAACAATAGTTTTTTTTTTTTTTGATACTTCTCTGTAAGTGTTGTTCAGGTTGCCTAAATTTTTATTACCTCTTTTTAGAAACAAAAAAAAAAAAGAAAGAAAGTTTAGTAGGTAACATAATAAGACATCAGAACACCGTACATTACACTGTTTAAAAAATTTCAGTTATTTTCGGTTTTCTTGACAAAATAAAAGCTTAAAACTAAAAATTAAAAAAGCTGCTTTGTCCACCCTGTCTTCAATCTTCGTTTTTCTTTTTTCTGTAGTACAAAGCGCAACTTTGACTAATAATTATTAGCAGGACCTGTTAAGTTTTAATAAAATTGTTCAGTATATGTTCGTCTTGATTTGTTCAAACATCAAAATAATCGTTAAATAAAATAAAAATGTAAAACTTAGTTCTTTTTTCTTTTCACTACATTAATAAATCAATACATAAATTGTTTTGTTATCACTTTTTTTTTTTTTAAATTTTTACAAATAGTTAGACAGACCTTTCTGAGTATTAACAATAGTAATCTAAAAATGTTACAGGAAAGTTCTATAATTCAGCTGTTAATAAACTGCGTTAGGTGGTATTCAGATTCTCTTAGATTAGGCCATATCAGACCAGTTTTTTCGTTGTTTACCTTTCTTTTTTTCTTACCAACACACAATCGTCACTTGTTTAATGGAACAGTAACTACAAATCGGTAGACTAAAATTTAGTACAAATTCTACAGTCTATTTAAGAAGATCAGACAGACTGTCAGTTCAAACATGTTAAGAAATTTTGAATAGTTTTGTTGCTGAAACCGATACCATTTAGGTAAAGAACAGTAAGATTTGTAATTTTTTGTACCTGTAATATTCTGATTGAAAGCCTGAATTAAACAGTCTTTTAATTTTTGAAGAAGCGTCTAAAGTTCTGAAATTAATATCTTTAATACGTTTCGTCAGTTCTGCTTTTCTGTTCTTTTTTTTTAAAACTTTTTTGGTATCTCATATTTGGCTCAGATTTGTTCATCTTCTTTTTGTTATTATCAATTACAGTGCTTTATATTATATATTTTTGGATAACTGTACTTATATGTTTGTGCTTTATTGTTTTGTATTTACTGTAACGCTAATAATTTTTTTATCAGACTTATAAAAAAAGGAAAAAAAAAGGTAACAGCATTATTGTATAATGTTAAAATAAGATGATTTTTTTTTATCAGATGAACCGTCGGAACATAACAAATTCAGTATTTATTGCTTTGGTTGTTCTTCTATTAGCTGAAGAACTATACGGTGGAAATCATTTGTTGGTTAAACGATCTATGGATATAAATGGAACAAAGTTAGAACCATTTGATGACGATCAGTGTAATAGCGAAAAATTACAACGGATTATGAAAGAAGTATGTAATAACTATTCCAAACAGCAATTTTTAACCTACCATTTTAATATGTCACTGCTATAGCAACTCATTGCTTATTCATCACAAGATATTGAAGATCTTTTTGCTTTTGTGAGATTAGATGTAGAATTACTTTAGTTGACTGTTGTCCATACTGCACCGATCAGCTGCTGTTTAAAAAGTACTGTGTTTAGTATGTTCAGGTGATAATAATTTGACAATGGTGGTACAGCAGCGATCAATGATAATTGCCAGTAACCGTTGAAAACTTGATTAACGGTAGGATGATTACATTTAGTTGTTGTTTAGAATATGAAAGATGATTATCAGAATGCCACCATCAACATCATGAAATATGCGGAAAATTCAATTGGTGGTCCGTTTAGTGTGATATGTGCTCGATCCGATTTTGCCTATGTAACTCGTGCGAGACTTTACTGCCTTTGCACTGTCGATGATCTCAACTGCTTTGCTTATTTGACAGAAGCATAATAGACCAGAAGAACTTATGTCTATTTTATGTCTATCACACTAAATTAACTGTTTGTTAAGCTCTATTTCACTTTTTTTTGACTTTTTTTTTCTTTCTTA